CCATGATCTCAAGAAAGATGTGTCCGAATATTCTATAAATAGAATTTTAATACAATACCTCATGCATCTTGTTGTTTTATATTATTAAAAAATTTTGTATTCTCAGTTTTTAAAAAATTTTGTGATATCATCCTTCATATTTCTTTCTTTTCTTTTCATGGATAACAAGATATCACCCTTAGTTGTTTTTTATGTATTCTCTCTTACTCTTCACCACTAAATAGTAACAGGAAGTACAGAAAATGGTCATAGTGGGAGGGAAGAGATGCTTCAGTGGTTAAAAGCACCTGCTGCTCTCACAGGCAGCCAGAGGTTGGTTCCCATGTGGAACGGCTCACAGCAGCCTGAACCTACAGTTCCAGGGGATCAGATGCCTCTTATGCCAGCTGTGAGCATTCACACACAAGCACACATGTGCATAAATAAAAACAAATATGAGACAGATATAGCACAACTCAGAGAACATAAGGTCAGGAGTGTTGGAACTAATTGTGTGAAGGCTTACCAAATGTCAGCTTATCCGATGATAACTAGAATATGGCATGTCCTCACCTGTACAGACCAAGGCTTTGAACAATCAAATTTCAAAGATTGTTTGCAAGTGCCTATTTCTGTACAGTAAAAACAAATAACATTATTTTATTATCATTATTAATTGTTATTCATTTGTTGTTTTACATAGCCCTGACTGGCCTCAAACTCATTATTTCCCTCCTCTGCCTCAGCTGTTGTACATACCTTCAATACCTGTCTTAAAAACTGCTTTAAAACTAGTTGTAAAAAGGATTTATAGGGACAGATGACACCCTCCCAGACTTTTGGGTCTGTGGGGGGCCACAGTCACCCAGGAGCCTGCCTGGTGCCAGGCAATCAGGTGCCATCATACCAAGTACTGCCTGAGATCTGTAGGCATTGGAGAGAGATGAAGCAATAGCTCCATGCCACCCCTTTTGGCTGGGATGGGCAGTGCTCAACCAAGAGACCTGGCACAGGGCAGTTTGCACCAATGTGGATAGAAACTACAGGGTGGGGAGGGAGAGGAGAGGGAGAGGTACAATGATTTGTGAGCTGGGGAGGGAGGCGGATCTGGAGAAGTGAGGGTGGTGAGGATCAGGCTGATGTGAGCGACTAGCTGGCCACCCAAGTACAGGGAGATGTCTGGGCCTGGGCTATGACCAAGGATCATGTCCTATCCCTGGGCCCTGGGACAACCGAGAGGGCCTGTGTTGATGTCTGTGGCTTCTGTCATTAGTGTGGACTATGTATGGGGTTGTGTAGGGGCCTGTGGTGGAGCCACATTGGTGCCTGAGGGTCATGCTACTTCAGGGGGCATACCAATCTGGGTGACCTGGGGTCATGGTGACAACCTGGGTCTGTGGTTCTGCCAAAACTAGGATCTGTGTTGATATTCCTGCCCATGTTGCCACCAAAGCCACATAGATGCCTGGAGTCTGGATTTCATCCTGTGGCTATGAGGGTGTCCGAGGGCCATGCTGGCACCAGCGAACAGCCTCATCTGAATAACCTGTGCTGTCACCAGGGGCCATGGCATCTTCTGGGGCATGGTTGCTGTAGGGGGCCATGTCTGGGTCTGTTGCTCTACTACAGCTAGGGTCTGAGTTGTTGTTCAGGGCTCCTGTTGTCATGGAGGGCCATGTGGAGAGCCAGAGTCAGTCAATTTGAACCATGTCAGTGTTGGAGAACCATGCCACATATGGAGTCATGCTGATCTGGATGGCTGGTGCTACTATTTTATAAGTAATATGTGTGTGTGTGTGTGTGTGTGTGTGTGTGTAAGTATGTGTGTATGAATGTATATACCAACCAAGCTATCTTATCTATACTGTGTATATGTGTTAGTTTAATTGGAGTTACCATACATGAGAGATAATTCTTCTCCAAGTAGCCATAGGTTACCAAATTGAAAGCCCAGTGCTATGTGTAAAATACCAGCCCTTGAATTTGGTCAGAGCTGTCTTGGATGCTTCCCCAAAAAAGTACATTTTTCTTGGTTGCCAACTAGAAGTTAATGGTGTCACCTATTGCTGAGGACACTATAAACTTTGGTCATAGAAAACAGGGAAATCAAACTGGTGTTGACCAGGAAGCTTCCTCCCTGCTGGCTAACTGTCATACTACTGGAAGGTGCACTGAATGTAGTAATGACTGCTGTGACAAGATATGCCTATGGATGTAAAAACTGGCACAGATGGATTGGGGGTAAGTTTTCTGATCAGATTTAAGGCCAGCACCACAGAAGGAAATGCATGCCTAGTTCTCTAAATCTGGCCAAGAACCCATAATTGAGAAGTTCATAGATCCCAACAGTGAACCCACTGCTAATTATTTTGCTAAGCGACATTTCAATTTGCATCTCTATAACCATAGATTAGTACAGCTCTCAGACCTTATCAGAGAAGTTTCTTTGTGCCCTGGATATTGGTAAAACATAGACAACTTTTCAAAATACAGAGATTTAATATTTTATGGCCATAAAAGAGCAAACACATAACATCCCCTTTACCTAAGGCTTAGAGGTCAAGACAAAAGGTTGTATTGGTTGGGGAGGACAGTAAAACAGCCTTTTGGACCTGACAAGAACACTATAGTCATGAATTCACTGCCTGAGTAAGACCTGAATGATATTAAACCAGTGAACATTCCAGTGTAGAGTGCAGAGGGTGGCCTGAGCCCCCAAACTGGCTAAGGCATTATTGACAGTTGATGGCCTCTAGGGAAGGTAGAGTCAGTTTTCTTTAGTGCTCTGATTCTCAGTAGGTCAACCATATTCCAGAGAAAGACCTATACCCATGAGTATATGGACAGTCACTACGTTATTTGAAAGAGAGAAAAAGGAAGAGGAAATTGGAAAGGGGTTGAGGATGGGGGAATGAATATGTATAGAAGTTAGGGGGAAGAGAGGCAAAAATATTTATACACATATATGAAATTCTTAAAGACTCAATACAAATATGATGCACATGTAATATATATATGCATATGCATAATGTATATATATATATATATGCATGTTAAGAGCCACAGAGATGGCTTTGCTGGTATTGAGCTGCCTGATAATCTTGAACACTGCAGCACCCATATATTGTCAAACAAACAAAAAAAGCCTAGAGTGGCAGCACACTGTGATGACAGAACAGGGAGGTGGAGACAAGAGGGTCCCTAGGGCATATATGACCAGACATTCCAGGTTCAGTGAGAGACCCTGCTCAGAAAATGTAGCACTAATCTCTGGTCTCTTCACAGAAAATTGCACAATGGGTGTACACACATAAAGGACATTAAACTGATTATGTTTTAATTTTTCTTAGTTGCAGTTGCTTCAATTAATTCAGAATCAGTGAAGACTAAACACCACTGGGAGTCTCAGAGTTGTGGAAAGAAATGCTTTTCTTGGAAGAGCCCAAAGTATATGCAAGGAAGAATAAAACACAATGGTGGTTACATTTTCACTTAACAAGGAAGAGAACTAAACAGGGCTATGGGTTCAAATGAGAAAGTTGCTCTTTCTTCTCTTAAGTGAACTGTCAACATGTAGGGCAAATATTTAGCATACACCTTTCTTATAATTTCTTCAAATTTCCATTGGTTACAGAGAACTAAGTTACATGATAATACTTTTTAAGTGACATTTGTTTTGGCAGTTTCTTGCTCTCCCCATTGACACATTGGTTTTTCAGTGAGATGAACAAAAATAGAAAAATAAAGAAATATATGTACTAAACTGGTGAAATTACTCAAGAGTAAATTGTTAACTACATTTGTAAGGAAAATGGCTCACACTTAGAGGGAGGAATTATGGTTAAGAGATGAGAACACTGTGCTTACTTTCTTCCCTAATTAACTAGCCTGAGCTAGAAACCAGATAAGCTGAGTTCCAAGCATTCAGGATGCATGAATATGATCCAGTTTGGTGGCTTGATCCTTCGTATGAAGCCAGACAGTAAAGAAAACAGCATCTCATTTCTTATAAACATCTTTTGTCCTTCTGCATGAGCTTTATCTAAAAGTATACTTGAGTATTATGTTGGGAAAAAAGGAGGAAATGTCTACAGAGTCCATGTTGCTAAGTAACTTTCAATGGCATTTTCAATTCTCTTTTGTCCAATCAGAAACACAGAAACCAAAAAAGCAATTAACTATCCGTTTGTTGAGGATAAAACTTATCTGTGATTTTTGTCTAGTTCTCTCCTTATTTTTGGCATCATTGCAATTTAGTAGTTTTATCCTTGATGTTGAACTAAGCATATGTGCTACGACTGCTGCCTCCCAGACCCTTGTATACTCTGTATTTTCTCTCCCATTTCCGGTCTACACAGTCTTGCACATACATAAACCCAAACAGCTCTGTATAGGACACACAAACTCCTCACTTCAAAGCAAAAGGAAGAAGGGAAGGAAGCTGTCTGAAGCAACAGATTAGTGAGGCCCTTGGAGACCTGGCTGAGTAGCTGTTAGAAAGGCTGACATATACAGCCAATTACTGACAAGTGGGAATGTAACTCAATATTGCTAAACCCTTTCATTTTGCAAAGGAATCATACATTCATGTGTTTTATGAATTAATCGAAAGGAACTGATACTGCCAACTAAACGGAGAAATAAGGAAGCATAGCAATTTCCACCACACCACACTCACATCTGTGGGCTGGTTTGATCATATCCTTATGAAGGTATGGCTTTGGTTTTCACATGGGTAAGACAGAATAAGATTTAGACTTCAAATTCTACTCTATTTATTGACCAGGAAGGACCTGCCAAGTCTGTGTGTAAAAGTGTGATTAACATCAAGACCGAAATTGATTTAAAACTGCCGCATCTAAGACAATGTAGAGAACACTTTGTCCCACCTCCTTATTTTAGAAAAAACAGATGCAGAAATTGAGATGACCTCACTAATTTTCTCAAGGTTCTGGAGAAAAATAATGTCCGAAATGGCTGGACAAACACACTCTGCATTCAGGGATCACACTGATCAGAGACACCGAATGCCCCTAGAATTTAATTCCGTGCTTATGCAAAGAGAACACTTTCCACCTGGTCACATCAGGAGGATTAGTACATGATAATAATTTTTGTCTAGGCCTGCACAAAGTCTATAGAGCCCAGGGGGTGCTTGGGAGTTATTGTTGGCCAGGGCGTGGGGTGAGGGCACAGGTCCCAGGGACCTATCATATATGTGAGATCTGGAATAGGACTGGGAATTGGATATGGGGAGCATGAATAAGGGTCAGCAGGACTCACTGGAGGAAAGATGAACATAGGATGTGATGCATAGGCAAGGCCTGGGGTTGGATGTGGTGAGGGTAACTGGAATGGAGGAGGAACAGAGGAAACGTGCACGCAGCCTATTTGGTCCACACCCTTCACATTGGCTACTTGTTTTAAGGTTTTGTTGTTGCTGCTGCTTGTCTTGTTTTGCTTCATGAAAGGATTCAAGAGCCTTCATAGGGAACTCCATTCATACATTGACCCCTGAGACCTGTGACATACAATGGAAGTGGAGGTCACATATCATCACCACATCATATCAGACAAGGCAACCTACACATTTATAAACGGTAGAGATCTTCACTTATCAGAGATGGTGGTAATCAGAGATTGGGGAGAGTAGGGTGCAGGGGAGAAAGAAACTGAGCAACTGCCAGAATAGTTACGGGAAGTGGAATTTAGACGGTTTTTCTATTGCAGAGTAGGTAACTTCTGCTTAACACAGCATGTGGTGTCTTCCAAAATCACTATACCTTTATACCATATGGAATTCTTACCACACAGAGGCATGTGAAAAAAATGGAATGTAGGTTATCCTGGCTTGCTGATTGTAGACTGAATTCATGCACCAAGTTTCCATAATGTTCTTCCCAAAGCTGTACAAGCAGAGGATGGAGAGATAGTGGATTAATGTTTGCTGTGCAAGCAGAGGATGGAGAGATAGTGGATTAATGTTTGCTGTGCAAGCATGAGGACTTGGGTTCAGTTCCTAGAGCTTATGTAAAGAATGGTTGGATGGTTATAGACCAACCAGAGATGCTGGCCAAAAACCAAAGTAGATTGCTTCTGAAGAATCACAACTGAGTCTGACCTCTGGCCTTCAAACTCATGCACACATACATGTGTGCATGCACACACATGCACTCTCACACTCTTGCACTCTGAGACACATATACACACATGCATACACATAGTCTCACACATGCACACTCACTAACACAACACACATACATGCATGTACACACACACACAAACTTGTACCAAGATTATGTCTCAATAAAATTGAATTGCCACCATATGGAGAGAAAAGCTGTAGGTGAAGGCAAATAGGCTGATTTAATAGAAACCTTAAATCAAAGGAAACAAAGATCATCCCTATCTAAATGAGAATATAATATTTCCTAGACCTGGATTATAATTGCTCCTTAAAAATGGAAGAAATTTAGTTCATTGGATCTCTCAAAGGGACCTGCAGAGAAGAGAATGCCCTGTATACACACAGGAGGCAAAAAAGGCTTGGCACTAAGGATTGTTTACATGATACTCTGCAGAAAATGTAGCTAATTCAAGAATGCCTTTATTGGGGATTGCTAAAGCCTATTTTCCCAGGAAAGTGTATGTTTTTTTATGGGGCATTGACCTAGAATTCAACTCAAGTTGTTTTTATCTCCCCATGAATGGTTGCTGGTCCCAGGTTTAAAGAGTTTGTCTACTTTCGTCTTGTCTGGTTGCTCTTCTGATTAATTTCTCTTTTTTGTGAAAAATTAAAATGTCATATGAATGAGAAGCATGTCAAATCCTTGTAAGTCAGGGATTTGTTTCAAACACTTTTTATAAACTATCAAACAGAATATATAAACCAAGTACATGACAGTACATGAATATGGTAATAACTTATGCCATCAATATTCTGGTTTTGATACAGTTGGGTTGCATTTCCTGCCTATAAAATATTCCTGGTGGCATAAGATTTTCACAACTACTTTTGCATTTTTGTTGTAATTCTCTCATAAAAAGAGAGCTGATTAAGACAGGGGAGGGAAATCTATGAGTCTTTTGAGGATTGCTTGATTCTAATTTCTAGCAAACGGGCAGAAAAAGGTAAGATAGTGACTAGTTGGAAACAAGGGTTTGATCCAGAACCATGGGCAATGCCAAGTACAAGTGCTTTAATTGACAATTCCCGTGTCTACGGACTTCACACTGACGATGGCAGACTCACAGAAAAACTGGTTTTCTTTTTTGTGTGTGTTTGATAATTTCTTGGTGGAGCAAACAGAATGTTCTGTTCATCTGAGAGAAATTCCATGGGACTATTCTGGTCCATTTTTCCTTCAAATGCAATTTTAAGCAAATGTGCCAACTCAGGAAGCAGCTAGGCCTGGGTCTGGGGTTTGCCAATTCTGAGACAAACCTGGTTACCTGAGAAGCATTGTAGCATTTTCTGAAAAAAAAAACTAGTGTAAACTTGGCCCTTGCCACGGACTAGGTGCTTCTCAACAATGCCCATGTATTATTACATATGTTACAAACACATCTGCTTGATTCTGTAAACCAGTCCCTTTAACCAAACTCTTCAGTTACTCACCTGCACATGCTAGTCTAAGAATGGAAGCAAGAATTGATTAGGAAAAATAAAAATCCCTGCATGGTTTCAATTTCATCCTTGCCTCATGGCCACAAGACAGCTTCAGAAGAGAAGGCTGGTGGTCAGAAATGGTCCCAACACTAAGATAATTTCTCAGTGCAAGATTAACTCTGGGGAGGACCTAGGGTTGTTGAAACTCCAACAGTTTCCACACTGTGTTCTCCCTTCTCCGTTTCCCATAACTACATCCCATCTGACTCTGATTCCAGGGCTCTTTATGCAGTTCTCAGCCACAGCTTACTGGTGACTGATACTGAGTAGCCACCAAAGCCTTGGGATTTTCCTGTGTGGTCTCCATTAAGTCTTACTAACTTCTTTCTTACGTAAACAGTATTAATTGTGGACAAGTGTATTGGTTTGTTTTTTTTTTATTAAGAACATCCATCTAAATACTTGTTTTTGTATTCATATCCTTGTGCTGATCTCAGCCTTGGCTGAAGAAGCTTTTGTTTGCAGTGGGTGACAGTTAACACAGAGACTCACAGTGGGTAAAGTGCTAAGGATAAGTGGCTACTGACTGCTCATCTTTAAGTGAGACATCACTCCACGACTCAAGAAACTTCATGGAAGAATGGACAGAAAACAATACAAGAGGCTCCGTGAGATGTCTGGATTTCACGATGAAGACCACATGGTAGAATGAGAGAATTAACTCCTGGAAGGAGTTTTCTTTACTCACACTTACAACATGGTATTCACACATGTGCACATATGTGTACATGAGCATATATGGGCATGCATGCAGGTGCACACACACATACACATACAAAATATATAGAAGTAGGAGAGGGAGAGAATATATAATCAAAGTATATTATATATTCAGTATGAAATTGTGAAAGAATATATCTGCTTTAAAAATGTAGTAAAAATATCAATTTAATTGTCTTTATCTTTGATCTATAGTAAATGTGTGTAGTCCTAAGAATAAGGATGTTTTAGGCACTTTCCAGATTCTGAACAGCAATTATTTATAGAGAATATTGATAACCATCTGCACTATTCAGTTTGACCAGGATTGCTACCCAGTCTGTAATTTTCTTGGTCTGAATCAAAGTTAGAAGCAGACCCAGTGCTCCTATTGCAGAGCCCTAAAGAGCCATGGAGTGTGTTCACAGCTTACTTGCCTGTGGTGGAGATGGGCCATTCACACAGTCCTGCCAAAGACACACAGAGGGACAGAGTAAATGTACTTATTGCAAGATGGAGAGGATGTGGTTCGAAGACTTACGATGAGAGCCTGGCTTTTGGGCTACTTTCATGGGATGGCTGTGACCTCTAGTTCCTGCTCCCTGTGATCCTATGACTTCAGAGTCTGTCTCCTCAGCTTTCATGCATATCTTCACAGAGTCCCTTTTGTGTGTTGATGGCTCGTGCTGGTTTGGGGCTTGCCAATAAGTGCATGGAAAGATGCAGCTTGCTTTTCTTCTCCATTGCTATCACCTTGGAGTGAGACCCAGTTGTCTGGATCTGTAGCCTCTGCCTGCATAACTTCTCTATATCTACCCTTCCTCACATGCCCAGTTCTAGCTAGGCCAGCCTGCTGGGGTCGGGGTACATCAGACCTAGGGCAGCGTCTGAAGGTTGTGTTACTTTTCCTGGGAAGAAGTAAACAAACAAACAAACAAACACAATCTATTCATCCTCGATAGGTACCTACAGAGCAAAGAGAGGGGGATTCTGTGGGGGTCCCTGAAGGTGTCACCGCTCGCCTGGAAATGATCTGCAATAAGGTGAGAATGAAAACTAATTTCAGCCTTATTCAACATGTATCAAACTACAGGAGTCTAATGTCAGGCAGTTTATTGCCGCCATATGTACACACAGACCAATTTAGAAAAAAGCTTCCTGGTACAATATATTCCCTGGTGCTTAAGGAGGCAAAATTGAAACTCAAAGTACATGTGATTTCTTTCACGAAGATGGGTTCTAGAGATAAGCTCCCCATATTAGATTAAGGACCTAGGGAGGATCTGGCCTGGTCTTGGTCATACAGATAGCATAGAGGTCCTTTGGACTGTTAACCGTCTCTGTTCCCAGTTATGGGAGCTTGAGTATTGCCTGGCCCTACAGATAATGCAGATAAGCAGGCTGTTAATCACCTCCAATTCCCAGCCATCTGGATGGAAAAGTAGATTATGCATCGTTTCCTTTAAGAGGAAAATCCTTCGTGCTTAGCATTCCTGGTTTCTTTGGTGGTCTGTAGACATAAAGACCTTTTCGTTCCCAACAGGATTCTGTGCAAGTTAAATTGGTGAACAAAATAGTTTGTTTTGGTTACTTACAAGAATGTGGGTGGCCAGGCGGTGGTGGTGCACGCCTTTAATCCCAGCACTCAGGAGGCAGAGGCAGGCGGATCTCTGTGAGTTTGAGGCCAGGCTGGACCGACAGCCTCCAAAACAATACAGAGAAACCCTGTCTCGTAAAAAAAAAAAAAAAAAAAAAAAAAAAACGTGGGTGACTTGAGCCACTGGAAAATCTCACTCCCATCATCACTGAATCATGAGTAGCTGACTCACTGGAGAGTTCTAACCCCTAATCACTCTTCTGCCATCTTGAAACTGTAGTATTTCACTGATGACCACATACAGCTGTAACAGGAACTGTAACTACTGTGTAGAAAGAAAGACAGACAAACAGAGAGAGAGAGAGAGAAAGAGAGAGAGAGAGAAAATTAGCCAGATAGTGGTGGTGGCCTATGCCTTAATCCCAGCACTTGGGAGGCAGAGGCAGGCAGATTTCTGTGAGTTCCAGACTAGCCTGCTCTACAGAATGAGTTCCAGAATGGTCAGGGTTGTACACAGAGAAACTCAGTCTTGAAAAACCAAGAGAGAGAGGGAGAGCCCTTCTTTCAGTTACCAAACTACTGAAACAACAGACACCCAGGCCTAGTAAAGAGAAAGGCTGAGGCCCTGCCCCTGACAGAAGAAGAACATGCCTTCCAGTTCTGACAACGTAAACAAACACGCATACTTCTGGCTTTAGTTTCATCTTTTATGGCCAAGCCATAACTGAGTCTGTTTTCCTTTACCAATGTACCTCTGAGTCCCTTTGAAGAGACAATAGGTTGATGAATCAGAGGGTGCCCTCCTAAGAGCCTCGGGGAGGAGGTCAGAAGGCAAGCCTGTGGCTAGCCACTCTTTGTAATTAGGATATAGGGTAGGTCTCAGTTTCCGGGACACTTTCTCTGGTCCTCTCATCCTTGGATGTTTGCTGCCTGTGAATGCA